ATCCTCGTTGTTAATTGAATCCAGAATGTTGTGTGTCGTTTATATAATTATTCTTACTTGTCCACAGAAGTTGCTGACTTATCCAGCCATTAAGTAGCTGCATATCATTTCTACATAACCATTGAACTTCCACTAATTCAGTCTCTAGAGGATTGTATGTTTATATCATAATTTGACTTATATAAATGATTGTTCTAAATCTTATGTTTCTATAAAAATACACTGTGCTTTAAAAATATGGATGATAGTATCTGCCGCTCTTTCAGCCACTTCAAAAGCAACAGTTTGTTTAGAAATAAATTATGCAGTTAATGTCATAAAATATTTTCATAAAATTCAAATAAACATTAAACGAAAATTCTCAGTTTTAGACAATTCGATTTAAGCGAAGTAAAGTAGCAGACGATAAAACGCCGAAGGTAAAAAGAAAAGATTTCTAAGATCTCTTAGAAAAATGCACTCTTATTTTTTTTAAAAAAAGGAAGAAAGAGAAATTTTAAAAAATTGTTAAAAATTTGAATAATATCATCTATAATTTAAAAAATAGCTTTTCATATAGTATTAATAAATATTTATTACGCCTTATTGAGGGAAAAAATTTCATATAATTAATTCTCCGTACAATTTTACTTGAAATTTAAGGTTAAAAATAGCTGTGGCAATTCAGTTTAACAAAAATCCATAGACCACATTTGGCGTTATTATCGCTCAAAAAAAAGATGCCAAATTTCAAAACGCGAAAATATGTAAATTCGTGTATATCTTAGAAAATTTTGAATAAAAAATTCTAATTTTTTGCAGATATGCTTAAAAATACACCTACTTTATGATGATGGTAAAAATTTTATAGGTTATAATTCAAAATTTTTTTCGAAAAATTTATAAAAATTATTTAAAAATAGAAATTTTAAAATAAAACACAAAAAATGGGTAAATTTTATTTGGAATGAACCTAAATTTCGAAATGTGAGAAAAAATCAAAAAGGTTCGATAAAAAAAGAGATATTAATAAATATTTGCCAAATTCAATTAACATTGAGAAGCTAAAATTTTGAGAGCTAATATTTTAAAAACTAGTCGTACGATTTTTACAAAACTTGGTATTCTGGCATAATTTGAGTCGTAAAATCGAAATATGTAAAAAAAAATTGGTATGTTATTTCAGAAAAAGTCCGATTTTGTGTCAAAATACCTATGTTAGAATAGTGCTATATATAAATCTAATATATATCCTAAGTCACGCTTTCGAGACATGAAAAACGCAGTTTGAATTTTGTCAATCGGCCCATTAGAACGGTAGATATAGCACTGTCCCTTTTTTTTTTTTTTGAGCAGTGTACCTAAACACTAGTAGTTCAATCTGGGATTGATTCCTGGCTAACGGGCTGGATAAATGGATGTTTTCATGGTTTTTCCAATATATAACGTGATACAAGCCAATTTCCCTCTGAATGTCCTCTACGAAGGCATCCTTCTTCTTAGTAGCTTTTTGAGTATTCGAATAAACCAAACCATATGTCAAATTGTTTTAATACACTGTTTCATACCGAAAATACAAGACCATGAAAACCCGCTTACACGAATACCAGCTTTATGGTACACATAGAAATATATTCTAAAAACGTGATTTTAGTTTCAAGTAGCTATAGAAAACCAATACTCAAACTTGCATAATAAAATTTACAGAGTTAGTTGAACTAAAGCCATCCGCTGGAATAGCATAGTCGTTAACTAAGTATGATTTTAATTCAACGAATTCTGCCATGTGATACTGTAGGCATGTAGTGTTGACAGGCATGTAGTGCAAGTTCTTAGGTCATCTAAATAATGCGGGTGCTAAAAAGCATTCATATGAAAAGGCATATTGCTGTTAACCCCTTGGCCTACCCGATATCTGTCAATTACGCGAGCTATAGTAAACAAGAAAGTCAGTCGCGTGCCGTGCCATTCAACTGTTCAGCCGTGTACCCGAACTGGCGCAAAATGTACACTTTTCATAACATATATATTTCAGTCTAACGAAAGAAATTGTGAAATAATAAACAATGTTTAGGTACAAATAGTAATTTTAAGACGTCTAGGGTGTAATCATGATCCATTGATTAGTTGACAAAAATAATTGCATGATGGGTATAAGAGTTTTTTAATTCTTTATACGAAATTATATGAAACGTGTGAACGTAAGGAAACTTTACGAGGAACTAAAGTAATAGATCATCCAGTTTCGTCAGAAACAACTGAAAAAAAAAACCTGAGATTACAATCAAAGGAAAAATATTGGATGTAGAAATAACTTCAATCGCTTGTTCTAATAACAATACGGAGCATTTTATGCACAATTTCCTCACCACGAGTCAGACTCGTGACTTTTGTTTATGGCACAAATTCTTTACCACGAGTCAGAGTCGTGGCTTTTGTTTATGGCAGAAATTCCTTACCATGATACAGAGTCGTAGTTATAGGCCAAAGGGTTAATGTTAGCTGTGTATTCATGGTTCTGTGTTATCCTGCTGGGTAGTTTACCTAGAACGGTAATGTAACGAGCTACAACATATCATTTACATATCGTCATGCATCATTTATGTATTTGTTATGTGTAGTCTTTATATGCAAACTCATTCAATAAGCGGACTGGATTATTAACTGTATATTAAAAATGTCATTTTTAGTTCTTCAAGGAATTCAAATTCATCCGGCTCGTCAAAAGGAAAAGAATGGATTCTTTAATTATTTCAAATTACATTGGGGCTATCTACCTGGTGGGAAAGATGCATTTATGGCAGACTATCTCAAATTCACCTTACATGTGGGGTAAATAACGAAAGTATGCATGCTACACATCTATTCGCCAGAAGTCGAGTACGAATCAAACTACCAGTGCTGAATAGTCTCATCCATTCGGCCACTAGTACTCGATTAAGAGAAAAAAATAATTATAAAAGAAAATGTTTAAAAAAATGTGTCCTTTATCGTTTTTATCTGCGAACCAAGAAGTCTCAGGTTTGATAGAACCTATTGAAATAAGATCTTCTATAAGGATCCAAAGGAATCAGTTTATTTAAAAAAACTGACTAGCTAACGCAGTAAATTGGCTGAATGCAACGCGTAGGCGTTTGGAGTAAACTCGAGGTCGTTTCCTACAACTTACCAACTACTTATTACATACAGACTTAGAAATTAACACAAGGTATATGAATTTCACTAAGCAGATGGCGAAATGACGTCAGCTGGCGGTGCACGCAGCTGAGCATGAGCTAACCTCAATAGGTTTTATGCTTTTGTTCAATAATATCATTTACATATGTTAAGACTATGTCACGAAGATAGCATTACACCCCACAAATCCAATGAATAGTTTTATTCTATCGTAATTGGAAATACACTCTTTTCAGTATTAAATATTTAGAATAAAAATCTCTAAGCCGCAAACCATCATAATGATTATTTTAATATTTGTTAATGGTCGTTTGAAATGTTCAACGTGGTACTGCATATAATAAAATTTCTCAGAATCACACGACTGTCATAGGAAATAAATTTCTAGACTCGCTTTTTAAAGGGAGAAAACATCTTTTCGAATAAAATATACTGGCAGGGTAAAGTTAGAAGAATCTTGCTATGAAACACCAATGACGAAGAAAATAGGTGTAGAGGTTAATCCCTTTCTGCGAATTCCTGAGCTAAGAGTTAAAAAAAGGTTTGTATGCTTCAAGCAATAATTTAACAAACCGGTGTAGCTGTACGATTCGAGAACTGCTCTAGGTAACGTCGCGCAGTCATCTAACGTTAATAAATTGCCCATTGTATCACGACAGTAGATTAAAGGGCATTTTGTATCTCAACATTATTTGTCACGGATTAGTGGAAGATTCTCGAAAGTAATAAATAAAATTAAACTCATATATGAAAAGATTTGAGCTTAGTATTCGGGAAATTCTTGATCATCCTGTGTTTAATTATAAAGGAATTTTTTACATATCAGTTAAGTCTGTTTTCTGTCTTGTGCATATGTGATATAAAAATAAAATACCGTCTCTTCGCATGAATAAACACAAACTGCGTTCAGAAGGCATATACGAAGTCTGGAGAATTAAAAAAATAGTAAAAAGGGAAAGGAAAAAATATTTTAGAGGTATAACAAATGAAATTCTCTTTAGTCCGCGCGGAGCACATTAAAAGCCGAACGTTAAATCTTTGAATACTAGTAGTTCGATCCGATTTCAGTTTCGAAAAATGCGCTCTGCATGAGAGTTTTTGCCATGTCCAATGTGAATAGCATCCAAATTTTCTTTAAATGACCTCCACGAAGGTATCCCTCCTTTTAAGCAGATAGCTGTCGCGTAGCTGAGAAGATGACCTGAAATTTCAGCTTCTGGATACAGAACTATTTTGTAACTGATATAAGAATGGACTATAAAAACGACTACATCAAATCAATCGAATTAGTAACAGATAAAATCTTGGTTAAAATTGACTTATAAAAGTGCTAATGTGTCACCATCGTAACGGAACCAGACCCTGAAAGATAATTTATGAAATAATTTTACTTTAAAATAATGCATTCAAATATCGGAGAATACTGTATTGAGGGAAGTACCCATAGCGAATCCCTCTATTTGGTGATAAACATTATTGATTTCTATTTGATTTTATTGTTATTTTCAATACGATTTTATAAAAATTAAAGTTATTAAATCTTTAATGCTCTGGACCCACTGAAATTTCAGGCTGATATTAAAAAGCATATTATAATGATAATTACCAGAATTTTAATGGTGATTACAGATAAAATAAACATTTTTAGAGAAATAATTTATACCGAACATTTTTATAGCAAAAAGAATCATAATAATTTAGCAAAAAGAAAGCCGTTTTTAATTTATTGATTTTTCATTTTAATGTTAATAACAGTATCAATTTTGCATACAAAATTTTAAAGCACATACTCATTATTTCGGATCCTATTTCAAATAAAATTTATACAAGAAATATGTCTATACCTGATCAGGTTTCGTAATGATATTTTCGCCGGATGTCAAAGGATCACAGTTATAGAAATTGGCGTAAACAACCAATCCTGCTAAACAGTTTACCACGAAAAAAACAAAGGTAATGGGCAAGCTTGAAAACAGAGCACTAAAAGATAAAATACAAAGCATTGAAAATCATTACATCAATAATAAAGTTAATATTCTATTAGAATCGTTTAAATTAAATTTCGTCAATGAAAATAATTCAGATCTTACATTAAGAGTTTGGAGTAAAGGACATAAAAATATGCTTGGAAAGAAGAAATATTATACATCAATGTAATAATTAAACGTAATTAGCCACAATAACCTGTGCAAAATCTAAGTTTTTTTCACTTCTTTCGAAAATTACTAATGAAATTAAATTATTACATAGCATCACCAACCCAAATTTATGAAAATCCTATATGATTTGAGAAATACTTTCGGAAGCATATTTTCCTGAATAACAAATGGCATAATTTTTTTTATTCTAACTGTTCCATAAAACGTAAAACTATTACTATCTCAGTTGATAAATTCGGCAAATGGTGTTAGATCAACGTTTATAACAAGGGCATACCTGAAACTGTTCATCTGATAATGAAACTGCTCACTTTTTTTTAACAGCATTCCCATTTACAGAAAATCTCGTGTCCAAAAACATTTATGACAGCAATATCGAGCATTTTTCACAAACAAAAGTTAAATGTGAAATTTGCAAAATAAAGGGTTTAAATTTGAAATTCGAATAAAAGTTATATATAAATTCAAAATACAATATTTGGATTAGATGCTTCCAAATTTCCGGTTGATTTATATAGCAGATACAGAGTTTCAAAACTTATTAAACAATTTTAAGAGAAATTAAATGCCATTGAAGCAAACGCCTTTTCAACATATAATGTGTGCTCACATATTAAACGGTTACACGCTGAAGTGGCCTAACTTGCAATCAACATGACTGCAAGTTAAAATAAAGTTATTTACAGCTAAAAATAGAAAAAAGAGAAGGAAGAAAAACCTGAAAGTTTTCAGATTTTATATTACGTCCAAAGGGGCGTTTTTTCATTCCTCCTCCCACACACATACGGTTTCGAGAGTCTTTGGGCTAAAAATATTTAAAAACAGTACATATATTTAGAATTTCCGATCGACAGTCTCGTGTGCTGGAGACAAAATTGTTTTATTCCCTATAGTGTTGAAACTGCTCGCTTTGAAATCGTTGAGTTTTGGAGCCAAAAATTCGTTAAAAGTTTTACAAGTTATGAAATAGATAATAAAACAAGTTCGAAATTCAGGCTTCCAAGTGCCCATATTCGTGTGGAGAACTACGTTATTTAAAATTTGATGGCTGTAGGTATCGTTGTTTTTATACAATGCGAGAAACATGCATACATTCATGCACATTGTTCCTTATTTAATTCCTTTTAATATAATACAGGGTGATAACATTTGGTGACAACAATTTCAAAAGTGATTCAACACTTTTAGCGACTGAAAATTCAGTTTCGAGAGTTATATGTCAAAATGCCGTTTCGAGACCAATAGCCCTTCTGGGCTAACGTTCATTTAAATGACAGAATGCAAGACGAAACATTGTGAGGGTAATTTGTTAGCCTAAGATTATCGAATGAAAAAAATTAATGAATTGCGGAAACTCCTGAAAGAAAGTTTGCTTTGGTGCTTAAAAATTTTCTTTTTAAACCCAAATGGGACGTTAGTTCCGAATAGGATATTAGTGTCGAAACGGAATTTTGCGCTGAATCACTAAAAACGGCACATCACTTTTCAGATTATTGCAACCAAATATCATCTCCCTGTATAATATTCAAAGAAATTAAATAATGCATAACGTTCATGAATGTATGTATATTTCTCACACTGTGAAAATCAACGATACCTAGAGCCCTCCAATTCTGAATAACGTAGTCCTCCACCTGAACAGGGGAACATGGAAGCCCGAATTTTGAAATTGTTTTATTATCTATTTCATAATTTGTAAACCTTTAATGAATTTTTGATTAACTCAACGATTTCAAAGCAAGCAGTGGCAACACTGTAGGGAATAAAACATTTATCTCCAGCGCACGAGACTGTCTATCAGAAACTCTAAAGATATGCTGTTTTTAAATATTTTGCAATTTTACTGTTGAATAGAATTTTATGCGGTGCAAGTACCAAGAACGGGACATTTAATAAATAAAGTAAACTAAACAAAGCGTGAATAATAAAAACATAGAAAAAGGCATTTATATAAAATATCTTAGCTAGAAAACTGAACATTGATATTATGAACTCAGAAAAGACTGAAAATAAAATAGAAAAATGTATGCCAGAAATTAAAGCTGCATCAGGAACTCTAAACATTTACGCTACGATGCTTTAAATTTTTGTAATTTTGCTGTTGAATTGTATACAGCGTAAGTGTAAAACGTTATGCTTAATAATAAAGCTAAAAAGACAAAGAAAATGAGTTAGTAGGAGTGGCTGTAACAGACTTGTTGACTACGGGGTCAGCGAGAGTGTAAAAAGCCTTAAACCCTTTTGTATGAGGTTGTTACCTTTCAGTTTTTTTTATTGTTTCATCTACAGTAATTGAACAGTTAATTTTAACTTAATAGTTTTGTTTTTGAGGTTGCGTGTACGTGGTGGTGATGGTTTTTCTATTGTTGTTTCATTTTTTGTTTCGTCTACAGTAATTTAGCATTTAATTTTAATTTAAACAGCTTTCTTTTTTAAGATGTATGTACGGGTATGATGTATGATGATGAATTTACTCACACATAACTTGAAAACCTTCAATAAAACAAACAAAAAAAAAAAACAAAAAAAAGACTTCGAAAATAAATTTAAATATATATTGATAAATACTGTTATACTGATAAATACTGCTGAAATGAAAAAATGCATGAAATTCAAAAAAGAAATTCAAATATAAAACAAATAAAAGTACAAAACCTGAAATACATGCAATAAACGACTTTGAAACCGGATTAAAGAAAAAAAAGTCCAGTCTATTTTAAGTATTGAAATAATGTTGAACTTTTTTTCCAATTAAACGGTCAACAAGTCATAGCTATTAAAATAATTCAAGTGAAACTAAAATATGGACACTCTATTAAAATGTGACGCAATAGATAAAATTTACATTTTAATTGCAAAGGCTCACTCTCAGCAATAGATGATAAGTACGTATATCTATCTCGATAATGACTTATTTAAGACGGTTTCTAATAGCCACCCAATACTTCAAGATTTATGTTTTTCAATTTATTATTCACTTAAAGTCTCAGAGTAGCTGTCATTTATGATTTTGTACTTAATAACAGTTTTAAGATGTTTAAAGGGACGAACCGGCTAGGAAATTCCATAACACACTTTTTTGTTGTGATGCTTACCAGTTCATTTCTTTCAAACCCTATATGCCCGAGAATCCAGTAGTGAAGTACCAGCAGCCGTACCTACGGTTCCTTAAATTTTTGTCTAGACTTTGATTCATAGATAAAAAATTCGTAACAGCATCTCAGGTCAACACCATCCTCCGAGGAGGAAACCATATGGAAGAAAGAAAAGGAGAAGCAGGAACAGAGGGAAAGGGGTAAAGAGCACTAAGGCCCGCGGTCATGACATCCTTGCTGACCAAATGTGATACTCTGAGGGATTTGAGTGTGTAGCACTTGTTACTCCCCTCATCAAGCTCAAAACTCAAGTAAGTACAGACTGTTGTTTTATTGAAAACTGAGGGAGCAATTTTGATAACACATCGAAATTACTGAAAATAAAGGAATACATAAAAAATTGAAAATTTTTTTTCTTATTTAGAAATAAATAATATTAAAATTTCAGTGGTAAAAAACTTGAAGAGAAAATTTAAAATGGGCAAATATAATTAATTGTATTTGGGGATGCAACTTTGTTTCGGAGATTTCGGGAAACTTTAAAATTCCGCTATTTTTCTTCATAAAGTTCGCCACTGGCGTTCAAAAATTTGTTTAATAATTTCTGAATGCTATATAAAATATTAACATTTAATCTTTTTCAATGTTATGTATTTCTACAACAAGTTGGGAGATCATCCCTTTCAACAAGGGTATCGTCGCGAAAGACCATGGTCGCATTTGCGTTTTACACGGTTAAAAGCATAAAATCCTCTTGCAGCAACCCGTTTACCAGGATATGAAGCTGGGTCGAACTCCAGAATTCAGTAGTATTACCTATTTTACCCTTGTATTGAATAATTGATCATACCGAAGCACACTATGACTATGTAGCTTAAAGCAGGAATCATTCATTAAAAAGAGAAACTCAACTGAGAAGCCTATTTACTGATGGTAACCGGCTCGTATTTACGTTACATATGGAGAAAACCTCCGATTCATTAGCGTTACATATGAAGAACACCATTAAAAATCTCATGGATCCAGCCTGTTCGCCAAGAACTGGATGCGTAGTGAATAACTAGTGTTCGGTTGGGGTCACGAGTGCGTCTGTTAAACTTCACGTTAAAATTCAAATTCAGTTAAGTAGTTAAGTTCAAGTTAAAATTCAAATATTTCAGAAGTAATTTGCAGAGAGATACGTCTACATTTTCAGTTTAAATTAAGTAATTATTTAGTATTTGAATTTTTTAACGAAAATTATTATAAAATTAATAAAGAAGTGAAAAACTATGGCAGAATAGATAGTAACTAGTAAACCCCGATTCTTTCACAAATCGAAAAAGAGAATGCGTGAAACTCTCTACGATACGAATTGCATAAGAATGGAAAGGTTAAAAAATGCAATATATAATATAATTCAATTTCACAACATATCTCAGACTTTGCGCAATAGTGAGTTGTAAAGTTGACAAAATTGCTCAACTCGTGATAAAGTAATCAAAAGCTTCACTGTACACAATGTTTTAAGTAAAATCACAACAAACATTAATAAACATTGATCAGCTATGTACGGTTCACGCCACAAGCATTTGTTTTTCCGTCATCAACTTTTCTAATACAGTGGGTAAAAAAAGTATTGGCAATTGCATATAAATGATCATATTAGCTAACAAAGGAAATGCTTGACAATTTTAGGTGAACATAATGAACACAGGAGGTAATAAACACACAAATCCTAATGAAACTTTCGTTTTAATATGCTTTTTACACAAATATACAACAAAAATGTAAATTTGCTTGTCAAAAAATTATTAGCAAGATCATATAGCAAAATGTGGGAACAAAATTTAATACTTTGTATTCATACCTTTTGCATTTATAACAGCTTGTAATCTTTTTCTCATACAGAATACCAAAGTCTTCGTTGTACTACTGGGAATTTAGTGCCATTATTGCAGAAGTATATGCTTCAGCTCTTCTTTACACGAAATTTTGTTTCCTGACTTCTAGGTCCAATTTGTGCCATAAATGTGCAATTGGATTTATACCAGGGCATTGAGGTGGTGTCTTTAACTGGCGAGGAACTTTATAGAGTAACTACTTCTGGGCGAGGTTGGCTGTATCCTTACGGCCATTGTCCTGTTGAAACACGAATAATGTTCCTAAGCCAAGACTTTAGGCACTGAAATTCAAGTTATATCGCAATAAGTCAGTGTACGTACATGCTGTCATAATACCATCAAAGAAGCACAGATTACAAACTCCATTTCCTGCCATACAGCCCCAAACTACGACGCTTTCTCCACCAATTTTCACAGGTTGTGGTTATATGCTAAATTCCAGCTCGGTGTTTGGCTTTCTCTACATGTATTGTCGCCCATCACTCCCAAAAATTTTAAACTTCGTCGGAGAAAATAACAGTGTTCCATAACTCGTCTGATAACTTAACATGAGATTTTGCAAAATCTAATCTTTCTCTTTCCTGTTTATTTCTGAAATGAAAGGTTTCTTTCTAGCTGCCCTTCCTAATAACTCCCTGCAGGTATAACATTCCGTATAATCTGTACACTGAAAGTTTTATGCGGAGTATTAGCAAAACCTTTGGCTAATTGGGGTGCACTTATTTTAGGGTTTTTTCCTAACCTCTTTGATAATGCCCGTTATCTCTTGAAGGAAATATTCGAGGCCGTCCACTTCTAATCTTATTTTCTGTCGATCCTGTCTCGTTGAACATTTTTAACACTTCTAACAGTAAATAGCTTAATGTTCAGTTGTATTCCTATAGCACGATAAATTAGCTTTTCATTTCTGAGCTGAATAATCACTTTTTTTAGCACTAACATCCAACTCTTTCGACTTTAAAGCCATTTTATCACGGTATTAGCAAAATAACGTTTTAAAAGTTTTGAAGTAGCACTGCAGACTTTATACTAACAGGGTGTCTTATCGGTCTAAACAGGAGACCTCAACATAACAAAATTTGCATAGCAGTTAGAACTTTGCCAATACATTTTTGACATCGAAATTTACGTTTTTGTTGAATATTTTGTATAAAAGGCATATTAAAATGAAGATTTCATTAGATTTGTGTTTTATTACCTCCTACGTTTGTTATGACGAGCTAAAATTGTCAAGCATTTCCTTCGCTAGATAATATGATCAATTATAAGAAATTGCCAATACTTTTTTTATCCACTGTATAAGATTCGTCTCGTGTTCGGTTGCCAGCAGACGAATAGGCTACTTGGGGATTTTGTCATATGTAACATAAATCCAATTAATTTCCTTTAGAAAATTACCTCTTAACAACGCCCTTAACGCAGATATCCTTTATGTCGTTCGCATACTGAAAATTAATTTATTATGCGTCATAAAATTTCTATACAATCAAATTTCATTATCACACGCATTAGTCACCTGAAAAAAGAATTAATTTTTTACGAAACTTATTGAAATTTAAGATTTAAAAACGCATATGTTGGTTGAAACTAAATACAAACAAAAGCAGTTTGATTCAGCAAATCACAGAGAAAAATTGCAACTGACCATCTAGCTTTCTTTGCAGAACTCACAGTTAAGAGTCTTTGTACCTGCAATTGACTGGCTCCGTATGCGGATAACGTGGTGAAGAATCCGTACAAGAATATGTTGATGAACGTATAACGAGAAGTAAAATCCATTTTGAATCTAAAATCGGTAAAACAAAATTAAAATAATTAATTTGAACCTTAAATGCTATAAAAATATATAAGTAAAGAATGCAATCAACAGTGATAATACTCTTAAAACGTAACTTAAAATTTACAATAGCTTTCAAGTAGGAACAAAAAAGCAATACAATAAGAAAAAGAATCCTTCTCTTAAAATACAAAATGCTGTTTTTTCAAAACAACAAATACAGAATATCCGATAAATTCAAAACATTAAAAATGTGATGAATCAGTGTGAAGCTTGCAATTCAATATGTATCACAGAGATTTTTTTCGTGGGGGCAGCTTAAAATCAATTTCAGTTGAAATTTTTAGTTGCAGAAGGCGCTATAAAAGAGCTGTAGTTAGGGGTTTTAGCGCCCAGGGGCAAATGAAAATCTCGCGCCCATCCTGTTTGCCAAGAGTAGAGCACATTTCATTTTAAAAATTCGCAACATCAGTTTGGCGACCACTGGATTCTACACTCAGGGACAAATGTCCCTTCTTGCCCTCTTTAGCTACGCTAAGTCGTTTAAAAAGAAGCTGCTCATCCAAGAGGTCATGATGGACTGCTACATTATTAGAACTAATAAGATACTTGTCACTACAAATGAATAAAGACTGTATATCAGAATATTTCAGTTTGTTCTTAGAGCACGGTATGAACAGCATCGTCTATCGTGGAAAATTTATTAACCAAAACCAGTCTGCTTTAGTCTTCGCGTGAAAGCCGCACTCTGGTGCTTTGATAGTTAAATTTATAAGAATTTTTTTAGTATCTAAATTTAGAAAGTACCATGTATTCAACAAAGACATTACATAGATGGAACATACATATAATTTCATAGCTTTAAGATGTGATACATTGTATATCGTTCATTTAAACCCGCCAAATGATTCCTTTTTTACGGTTTGCCGAACTACGTTTTAGATTACATACGCCTCCGCTGTTCTTTCCCCGCAAATGAATTACTAGCGTCTTTAACTGAGAATTCAAAGCAACTTACACTCGCTTTTAGCTGCGTGTATTTTATATAATTAACTTAAATATTGACGCATAAGGAAAAGTAAATGTAATACTAATTAAGTGTTAATGATAGTAGAAATATTATTCCAAATAAGTCAATCCAATCCCAACGAATCTTAAGTGACGAAAGAGGCAGAATACCTAAAATACTCGAATTTTAGGTATTTTATACCTAAATATACGAGTATTTTATACCTAATTTACAAGTATTTTATATACGAGTATTTTATACCTAAAATACTCGAATTACGTGTTTTTTTTCTTCGCCATCCCAATGTGCTAATCTTAATAAACTTTAATTTTTCAACTTAAAATTTTAAAGAGGTTAATTTTATTCAGACTCAACAGAAGCTTTCATCAAGAAATAAAGCCACTGTTGCAATTTTAGGTGGCATTTGGATCACTATTATCATCCCATGGAGACTCTGAATGCTAGGTCCTGGATGTTTCTAGCAACTCATGTCATACTATGAGATTTACAAATGCTATGTTGAGCATAACTCTAGTTGTCTTTTAATTGAGATATTTAATGTCAGGTGTTAAATTTTGAACTATTCATTAAAAATTTGAAATGCTAAGCCAATCTTTCTCAAATTAAGTTGAAAGAATGCTGTTAATAAAATGGACTAATAATTAAAATTCTTAAATCTTAAGATTTTTATTATTGCATCATTTAATTAAAATTGTAAGATTCAATAATTTTAATTATATATTTTCTTTGTTAAATTTTGTGTCTTCTTAATAAATATGGATGTATTTTTAAAAGTGTATTCTTAAACATATTTTTCGAATTCTGCTTTAAAATTTTTTATATTAAATACTTTGTCTTACTATTATTTTTATTTGTAGAATTCGAGGGATTGAAGTTTCAAAAGTTTAAAGAACCTTTCAGGAATCGTATTCGAGAAAATTTAAGATTCATCCCACCTCTAAGCCAGCAGTCTAGAAAATAATTTCTTTCTACTTACTCAGGAATTATAAGTCTTCCACCTTCTTGTGAACGATTCCAGACGGTCTCTAAGCCTCCAACATCATAGCTACCTTTCGCAACCATCGCAATCAACCCACCATACATGAGCAAGGCTTGCAGAACATCGGTCCAAAGCACAGCTTTCATGCCGCCCTAAAAGTGAAAAATTCCTTCATAATTAAAAAATATGTTACTTTTCTATAAAATTTGTCATTACTAATATTATCTCAAAACTGGATGCTTTACCTAATTTAATTAGTTATTGTTTAGTCCTATCACAATTAGGCTTATTCATAAGTCAGTGAAACATTATTAAAATTCATGAAAAAGATACGCAATCGATACCAAATTTCATTGTATTTAAATAAAAAATGAAACTGAATCTCCCCCAAATGCTTCCCAAACACGTAAGAGTTCTAATTTTTGATGGTATGTAGATCTTTATGCATCACTGGTAGGCAATGGCGCAGATAGGGTTTTCAGAGCGCGGGGACGACCGAGGACTTCACGCCTTTTCCAGTTTGCCAAAATGCAAATGGGAAGGGAAAGAAAAACCTCCTCCTTAGGATTTACTAGGAAGTGTTGAAAAGCTATCTATGCCATAGTTGAATGAAAGCAGCAATAATTTTCGCATTCTATAAGACAGTTATTTAGCTCACTACAACAGAGATAATTTGCGAGAGTATCTCAATTAAAATAGTCCATTAAGCATAAGTCCATTAAGCATTAAGCAGACAACAAGAAGATTTGTTAATGCGCTGGTCTTGTTAGAGTTACATCATTCGTGAAATTGGTGTCGTGAAGAAAACAACGCGCGGAAAAAACATCGCGGTACAAAACAACGTGGGAGGAAATAAAGCGATGTAGAAACTTTACAGGTTTAAAACATCGACGTACAAAATATCGAGGTAAAAAATAAATAAATCACCTACAAATTATCGCATGATGAAAAACATCAAAGACATACATTTTTTAATTGTAAAAAATTTATGATGATTTTCGCGTAATAATTTGCGAGCACGAGAAGTAATATTTTTAACAGTTTTGATACTTTTATAAAATAGTACATAATTTTTACTGAAAAAGCAAAAAAGAAATTTAATCACTCAAAATATGGAAATTGGTAAACATTAATGCTATGTATAGCAACTTATAAAATTTTAGCAATATGTCGCCAATTATTAGAAGTCATTTTTAATTAACCTCTTATACAAAGACTTATTAGTAGATTTCCATAAAAACAGTATAAAAGATTATAAAGAAAATGATACTGGTAAGTTAAATGACGTTAATTGCCATATATAGCATTAATTTCTCCAAATTTTTTTAATGCTCAAGTGACCTTCTTGCTTTTTCAGTAAAAATTTATTAGTATAAAAATATGAAATATATATAGGAATAAAAATATTATTTGTTTCTTCTTGCTCTTTTCATTTTTTCAGTCAGGAAACGCATGTCTGCCATATTCCTTTTTTTTTCTTTTCTTTTTCTCTCATGATCCTGTGTACGAATTTTTCCCTTACGTTATTCTTTCCGCAATGTTTTTAGCCGTAACCATGTGATTTTTTTATCGGAATGTAATAAAGGATGTGCTTCCACTTTCCATCAATCTTCAGGCGCTTAATAACCGTTTCATCAAAGCTGTGAATATCATCGAATGTGATGAAAATATTTATGGCACAGACATACACTCTGCACAAGAAAACGGAGAATAGTTCTATATCTCCCGTTCTACAGGCCAATTGAAGAAATTTAATTTGCGTTTTTCATGTCTCTAAAACGCAACTTAGGATAGGATATATATTAGTTTTATATACAGTATTGTTCTAACACATGTATTTTGACAATCGGACTTTTTTTTTTAATGACACCAATTTTTGTCCATACTCCGATTCTACGACTCAAATTAAGCTAATTCGGTAAAAAACTTAGCGACAAATTTAAAAATTCATGTTGGGCATCTTTTTTAATCTGGACTAAGAATAATTCACTTGGAGAAATTCTTAATTTACAATAGACTATTTTTCCTTTCTCTTTTTTTCACTGCGCAAGAGCGGGAAAAAAAGGTCCATTGTTCAATCTTTCAAATAATTTTAACAAAGTGCGTGAAACACATTTGGCATTATTATCGTTCATAACAAATATGTCAAACTTCAGAACGCGCCAGTATATAAATTCAAGGATATCTTCAGAAATTTGGGATAAAAAAAACTTATCTTTTTGCAGGTGTGCCTTGAAACACGTCTACTTTAAGGTGATGACAAAAACTTTTATGGGTTATTCTGAAAAACATTTTTTGAAAAATTTATAAAAATTGCTAAAATAAGCAAACTTAAAAAAATAAATTAGATAAATAGCTGGCAATTTTATTTCGATTGAACCTAAATTTCGAACTGTGAAGGAAGGTTTGGTTTGGTTTGGTTTGGTTTATTGAGGTTACGGCAAAGCACACTAGGGCAATCTGCCTAAGGGGAGGGATGCCTTCGTGGTGGACTTTCTAAAGGAAACTGGCTCGTATACACGTTACACATGGGAAAAACCACGAAAACGCCCATGCAGCCAGCCCTTTCGCGGGATTCGAATCTCGGACCAAACTACCAGTGTTCAGCGACTTTACCGCTCGGCCGCTGGTGGGCCTGGGAAGGAAGGAATCAAGTACGTTTACTAAAACGGAGATATTAATAAATATATACCAAAGTCAGTAACATTAAGGAGCTTTGGGAATTGTTTTAAAACTACTCATGCGATTTTTACAAAACTTGGCACTTTTGCATAATTCAAGTCATATAATCGAAATATGGAAAATACTCGGTATGTCATTTCAGAAAAAGTCCGATCTTGTGCCAAAATACCTGTCATGTTAGAACAATGCTATACAAGAATCTAATAAACACCCTAAGTCGCGCTTTCGAGGCATGAAAAACTCAAGTTAAATTTCGTCCCTCGGCCTAGTACAGCGGAAGATTTAGAGAACTACCACCCACCCACCCCTTTTTGCAGGATGTGCACCTTATGACAAAAAAGGACAAACTTAATATTAAAAAACTGCTGGTGAATTTTTTTTTATTTCAGTCTAATAAGATTTGGTATTTTTAAAATCTTTCACAGAATTGTGAAGAATACTGCAGGTTGAGATAAATCTTGCAATCAAAATTATAGTCCTATTAACAGAAAATCCCTTACACTTTTTAATGATTTTGGTCAACCTTATAACTGAAATTGACCAGAAATATTAAAAAAATTAATTGGAAAAAATTTTGCACAGAGGAATAAATCATCGACTACGGTAGTCAAATTTTCAGAAACACAAACTAGCTTTCATTTTTTTTTTTTTTTTTTTTTTTTTTTTGAATATGAAGTATGTTCCTGCATTTTCAAAACAATATTGTCATTTTTCAATATAAGCACGGTATAGAAATCTAGGAATCAAAATATATAAGGACACAGTAACAAATATCGTTTACAACAGAGCAAGAAATTCTCAGTCACCGTTTTCTACAAAAAATAGAACGCCAAATATTTAATAAAAATTACATACTATTAAAACTTCGCATTAAAAGCAAGGTTCTCAAAGTTTTTTATCCGTAATGAATAAAGCTTTAAAATACGCATAGTGCTCCTTGCCTTCTTTCGAGACTAGTGGTAAAGCGTGAAGCCATATGTACTACATTTCTTTACGAAAGACATTTATCTCATGGAAACGGAAATTTGTCGTGACTGAAGATGAAGCATTTGAATCTATATTTGAATGACTTAATTAAAAGCGATAAATCTGCCATCGTAAAACAGGATAAAGTGTCGAATGAAAATTTCAGTAAAAGTTTTATTAGAGCTAGGTTTCCAAACAGAAAAACTAAAATTATAAAAGATCCAAAGAAATCTAAAAATGGGCCTTGTATATTATTAAAACAATATTTCAACATCATACTTAAAATATCAATCCAGATTTTTTGCTCTCGCACAACAAAACTTCCAGAACAATGTCACGTCAATATCTAAATTTCTAGGGGGAAAATTGGAAAATGAGAATTGTACAGCATCGCATTATCGCATATTCCAGCAGCCTCATCTGGTGATTTTGCATAGTGGGTAGTGTGGTGTATTTAATTATGACAAAGCACACTAGGGCTATCTGCCTAAGGGGAGGAATGCCTTCGTGGAGGACTTTCTAAGGGAAACTGGCTCGTATAATGTTACCCATGGGGAAAAAACCACGAAAACGCCCTGTAGCCAGCCCGTTCGCGGAATTCGAACCTCGGACCGAACTACCAGTGTTCAGCGACTTTACCGCTCGGCCGCTGGTGGGCTTTGCATAGTGGGAGCAAAGAAGTTGATTGAGAATATTGAGTCAAAATATTGTTTTGATAATAAGCAGAGTTCATTTTTAAATTTCTTTCTATTTTTTTTCTTTCTTTTGGCATTTTACCCTGTGGCTTCGTTAGCTCACTGTGCTTTTGGACTGCTAAAAAAAAAGCATTTCTACGTGCTGACCAATGGTAACTGACAGACTGCAGAAAGCAGCAGAAGAGAACTGGGAGAACAATTCTAAGATAAATTAAGAAATGCCATTTTGTCACAAATTAAAATGCAGATTAATAACAGTTAAGGAATAAAAATAATATTTTAAATAAGCATTTGCCTATTTGGAAATCGATTATTTTTTAAGGATTTTTTGGCACAAGATTACAACTGAGCTTAGACTTGTATTAAGTAAACTTTCAAAATTTTTTATATTTTTCAGTCTATGAAATGTTTAGGATCACAAAATTTGGTCGTAAACCCTATCACATTGCATTTAAACATAGCCTATTGCTTTATTATATAAACTTTTCTAATATTATGCCGGAATATTGTGCTTTATATACCCCAATACGCCATTGTGTATGTTTCTCAATTAAAAAATGAATAGTGACTAGATAAGACCCACAGAATCCAAGTTCAAAATCATCAAATGCTGGTTGTTAGAATTTGAATTTGTATTATTGTATGTGAATCTGAATTTGTATTATTATATGTAAATTTGAATTATATTAATTATATGTGAATTTTATTTCCAGAGGACGAGCTAGCTACGTGGGAGTTTCCCTTAAAAAGTTCTCTACGAAGGCATGCGTCCCGTTAGACAGATAATCCTTGCGCTTTGACATAATCCAAACAATTTTAACCAAGCAAGCAGATGTAACAAGGCGAGAGCGTTGCGCTGGTGTTTATCTTCACTTATACCATAAATAAGAAGTCTTATGAAGACATTTTAGCCTAAACACATTATTAAAGCTCTAAAAACTTTTTCGTGTACACTGTGCAAACACAAATACAAAATCTATAAAAAAGTTATAAAATACAAAACAGTTTTATTGCAAAACCTAAAAGAAAATTTAATGCATGAGAAACCAAGGGCAATATCATTTATGATAACAAATCATAGTCTAATAAAGCACAAAACAAACGTTAAAGTATACTAATTAATTCTATGCTAACAAAGTACAATTAATTTCAAATATATAGTTCTGTTATATATTTAGGTATGAAACTGTTAAGGCTAGAAGTAATAAACTTACCAGCGTGCAGTAAAATGTACAGACGACGCCAACGGAAATAACTGATGTCCAAATGGAGAGATTTGTCACAGCACTTAAGGCTAATGCTGGGGCGTACAAAATTACCGCTAGGTATAAAACCTAAAAAACAAGGAAAAACATAATTTATGATTATGATTTAAAAAACACTTCAGCATATTTTAGGTTTTAAATTTGATGGCTAAATTAGTATGATACACTAGTTTCCAATAGTTTGAAAACAAAAACTGATGATAACTCAAGAAGTATGCAACCAAATTGGACGAAAATTAGTGATAACATTTGATACACCATTAACAACTTAAAACCAAAAAAAAAAAAAAAAAAGTTTTGGTACTTATGTATTATCCCGTCTAAGTAGTGCGATTTAGCGCCAATTATGGATGACCACTTCCTTTAGAATTCTGCAGTAACGAGTGGCAACTGGCAACCGTTGCCGAAATTTCCTCGGCTAATACGTAAAGTACCAAATTTTTTCCAGAATATTTACATTTTCTGATATCGACAGAATCATAAAATTTTGGCATACAAATTAAATACAAAAAGTGTCAGTAGTGAGTATGATCACCTCGAACAGCAATACATGCCTGACAGCGATGTCTCGGGCTGTTTACGATGCTGTCAATGAGCTGCATGGGTAGCAGTCTTCATTGATTAGATAAAGCAGAGTTTCTTAAACTGGGGGTCGCGGGACCTGCAGCAGGCGGTCGCCAAAACTTTTAGCAGTTTTGATATTTCTTTAACTTATTACATTATAATTTTACAATTACCAAATATTTTTACACAATATATCTGAAAATAGATAAGGCAATACAAACAAAGAAAAAAAAACGAAAACGTTTCGACGCGTTCTTTTTATAATATAAACGTTCATTTTATTTGCTTTGCACGTGATGTTGTCATTTCGTCTGTTACTTATTTAAAATTTTCACATTGTTCTTTGTCTAAAAATTAAAGTTTATGACCTAAAACTGCAATAATATATTAAAGTGAAAAAATTGAGAGTTTCACTCTCGCGTGTGTCAGATTTGCGCAATGCTTATGGCGTCCCACAAAATTTTCGTAAATATTATGAGGCATTGGGGTTTGCGAAAAAAAAGCTCAGTGATAAAAAGGGGTCGCGACTGAAAAGAGTTAGCTCTGAGATAAAGCAATACTAAGCACATCTAGGGTTTGGGGAGGGGACTGGAGGCCAGCAATACGCCTCCCGAAAGTGTCCCACTCATGTTCAATGGGATTAAGGTTGGGAAAGCCTACTGGCCATTCTATTTGGACTACAATTTCTTTTTCCAGAGATTGATGCATCAGGCGAACAGTGTTAAAGCTAGCATTATCTGCTTGGAAAATGAAGGCAATTCTGATTGCAGCAGCATAGGCACGAAGAATAGGATCCAAAACAGACATAACATTTCAAACTAATTACTAAAAGTAGCTATATTAAAGACAAAGTTTTTAATCACTAAAAATAAATTTTCTCTAAAATTTGAAAGCATTTCAAAATTTTGAAAATTCGCCGAAGCGGCGCTGCATTGCTAAACTCAATTTTTTGTGCATGCTTTCAACCGTCAAATAGACTCGACTCTACAACTAATTTTTTAAAACTGCTTACTCCTCAAATGAGCAGAAGCACTTGCAATTTTTTGTGTACAACTTTTGTAACTTCGCAATTATAACATTCTAGTTGATACAAATAATTTTAGTACTTGATCGAAATAGATTCATCAGTATTTTATCAGATTTGCTAAATACATCAGCAGAATGTTTTCGCCTTTATTAGCTTAGAGACTCCTTATTATTTACATACGTATATTTATGCAATAGCAGAATTCCACTGCAAGTGATTTACATTTGGTGCGTAAATTGAAAGTTTTCATAATTTTTCAGTCTGATACTTTTATTAAATTCGTGGTATGTAATTGTTGTAAAATATAATTTTTGATCATTTCTTCATATATATATTCTTTCATGGTACCATACATTTAATCCATAAGGATTTTCAGACCTCTACCAAATATTGGTAGCATTTTTCAAAACCGAAATTTCTACTTTAGTTCTTTTTCTTATTAAAATAGATTAACAAAAACAACCTCTCCTGCAAAACAAAATCTGCAAAAATTGTGATAAAAGCGAGAAGAAACGCTAAACCGAAAATAAATTAAGTGCTATAATCATAATAAATAAAATATACGCGAATGAAGGCATGCAAATTAACGCATATGTTTATTATTTTTTTCCGAAAATCGATCATTCGGAAACTCGGAGATTTGAAATCCCGGAAAAGCGTCAAACTGCGCGGCATTGCCAAACATGTTTATTTGCATATTTTTTCCTTCTCTACAACACTTAGCAGCTAGTTTTTTATCGCTAGATATTTTAAGGTACACAGATTTATTATTTTTTTTCCTAAAATATTGACAGTTGAAAGTTTACAAATCATCCGTCTTAGTCACGAATACTTAAAAAGCAAGAACTTCACACTCTGGAAGAAACTTATGTACACCTACTGAGTTTTCCTTTCGAAACTAAAATTCCTGCTTGTAGAGAAGAAAACTTCTTATACGAATTCTACTTTTAATCTAAATGAGAAAACAATTAAACATCAGTAAAGACTTTTTCTAATTGTATATTTTCGTATACAGTATTACTCAAAACACAAAAAGCCATCTTTGCCTTAGATGTATTTCGAAAACTTTTTCCATCCTTTTCAAATATGTAACTTAACGTTCACCTCTTAAAATATGTAATATAAGTTAACGTTCACTTCTTAACTTTTCCATTAAAAGAAAATATAACTACTTAGTTTTAGCTAAAGGGGTGGTACATATCATATTATCTTTTTTGTAGGACACTTGCATCATGTTAAATGAACCAGTATCTGCCGATACATCCTAAAAATGTCACCCGATTTGTTTCCTGTGAGCATTCAACCCTAGAAACTGTTCCGGATTCTTCCAAGAAAGATGAATTTATTTACTAAACTATTTTTCTTGTTAATTCTAACCTAAGGGAGTGTTGGATGGCTTCTTTTTAGCCCAAAAGTGTTAGTATCAAAGCACGATTTTGCATTGTTTCACTTTTCATTTGAGTCTGTTGCCATTCGGAAAAACGTAAGATATTATTCTTTATTTACCATCTGTTATTAATTAACAAACTATTTAAAAGCAATAGATGCAATTCTTAAAAATATTTCTTTATTGTTTAATCCAATTGATTTAAATAAAAATGTATTTAATTCTTGATATATCTGATTAAAACATTAAGTATTTTTATAAAACTGCATTACACTTTTTAATGTTTAGAAGATACCTAACGTTCCCATGTCAGTTTAAATCTATATATTCATCTAATATCCTCTTATAATGTTTCGCTATTCCACCTGGGCCGCGTCTGTGGATTATCTCTACAGATAAGCCATATTAAATATTAAAAGAATCCTTTTGAGCGATCGTTAAAATCTGTAGGTACCTTTTCAGACTTTTATTTAGCGACAACTTCAGATCAATTAGGTTGATTTGGTTTATTTAATTATGGCAAAGCACACGAGGGCTATCTGCCTAAAGGGAGGGATGCCTTCGTGGAGGACTTTCTAAGGGAAACTGGCTCGTATACACGTTACGCATGGGGAAAACCACGAAAACGCACATGCAGCCAGCAAGTTCGCGGGATTCGAACCTCAGACCGAACTACCAGTGTTCAGAGTCTTTACCGTTCGGCCGCTGGTGGGCTCAGATTAATTAGAGCAAGTGCATACCTGCATTTAATGGTTTCTTCGGTAATCCTTTTCTCACGAAATATTCCCTAGACAACGTCGTCTCGCGTTAATTTTTACCGTTTTTTATTGTCCGTTTATTAGTTTTGCCAAGAAACGAAACAGAACCAATCCATTATATTTCAAAGAGTATGATATTTTCAAATCAAAAAATTTGCCTTTCATTCAATGAAACTCTACATGACGGATGATATACGATGGAAGTGTAATATTAACAACTGCCGACGAAGTGTCAAATGAGAACGAGAACTGGTTCGACAGAAGTCATTTCCTTTCTCAGTTAGCAAATTTCTCATAGAAGCAGTGACAAGCTGCGCAAAGCAACATTCCGACGCTATTCTGAACGAGAATGTTAAACAATGCTACTGGAAATCAAAATATCCTGTTGACATCAAAAATGTATTCCATCGCCAAAATGAGTCAACAGATTACTGGCGGGGTATTGGCGGGCGCAGGTTAACACACAAATATTTAAATATTATACAGAGTTTTAAATTCACATTCTTTTATTATTATTTATTTGATCCCGTTTGCTTTCATTCATTTTTAATTTTAAATATTTCTACCATACATAATTATATGTATTTTATTAATTTTAGAAACAGTTGTCTTGGCCTCATGATCGCGCTTTCAACATTAAAAAAACAAAACCCAAGTTCAATTCTGTTTATGTAATAACACTGAACTGCGTGTCTTTCGCAAAACGTTTCCATTAATCTGAAGTTTCAAGACCGATTCAACTACTTCCATACACATCTCAGTTTTCACTCATGACATACTCATTTATGATAATCATGGTGATGAAGTAATCATATTTATTTACCCTAATGATTTACACTCACTGGCTTAGTGTTATTTGCACATTTCATTACACGGTTATCTGATCCGACTATTAGACAGCTTAAAAAGTTATAAGCATGACTTTTATCTTAAAAGTTATAAATACTTGCAGATAAAATATTTGCAGAATAGCATGTTTTTATCTTAAAAATTATAAACATGTCTTTAGATAAGGAAATGTTTATAAACTTACTTTATATTTCGAATGAAACAGAATAACAAGTTATTAATTAATGTTACATTTTGACTCGGCTATAAATGCACATATATAAGATAATATTGATAGATATACCTTAAATTTTAAACAGCAACCGCAGAACTACAAATTAATGGTACTTATTTTGCTTAATTATTAATTAGTAACAGCCGTTTAGGATCGTTATCCAAAATTCTCAAAAGCGAACTAATGTTAACTAAATTTATTTTGATATTCAGGTACAATGTTTTGATAGATTTATAAATATAAATCTTTTTTAAAGCATGATTAATCACTACGTGTGAACACGATAACAGTAGAACTAACGTAATTTTTCCATTTATAAAACGATGCGATTCACATCTATTGAATTATTTTAGAATTAAGCTAGTATAAGATGCGAATTCTTAGTACACATATTATACTGTAACATGTTGCACACTTTATATTTTTTCTCTTTCAAAGACCACATTTTCTTCGGCATGAAAATGATAGAGTCTCTCTAGCTCCAATTTTTAAATATTTCGAAAAGCATATTTTTAACATCACTTTTTCGTTAATACACAATTTCATGTAGATACAATGTACAATAATATTATAGTACAAATATTTTCATTTGAAAAGGGCAATTTTATTAGATAATAAAGTTGAAAATGCATTGGCTTATTAGACTAATCTTATAAAATTTAATAAAGGAAATTTTACTAAAATGAAACTTTTAATAAGTACATAAAATACTTTTATTGTGCTGTAAAATAAAAAAAAAATCTGAAAGCTTTCAGATCAATGGGAAACGTGAGAACATCATGCCTATATCTACTGCGATATTTAATATCCTAAAACATGATGTTTGTACCCGCTATAATAGATAACGCCATGAAACATGCACCTGTACAACTATGTATGTCATGTAATGTAATACATTTTACTTGAGCTAATTTAACGCTGAAAGGTAGGAATGCTGTTGATGCCGCCGATTGTGGCAGAACTTGCACTATTGGCTGGAATCACAATTTCCCCACGACTCGAGAACGCTGGAAGGTTTTTGGTTTTCTAGTTAGTTTAACAATCTCTATTTTTGCCATTTTTAAATTCATGATATTGATATTTCCAATTTCGAGAACATGTTTTGTCTTGAAATACATTGCGCAGCATTATGCGAGGTAAATGATATATCAATATTTAAATTAAATGGTATCGAAGAAAATGAAAAAACAAATTTTCTCACTATTAAATAAATTAAAAATACTTTGGAACACGGAAGGCATGTTGGGACTATGTAACAGCCGTTTAGGAGGACTATGTAACAGCCGTTTAGGTCTTGGCTCCTCCTTTACCCTTGTGTTACGATTAAACTTCACGGTTGCGGTGCCGTGCGCTACAATATAACAAGTGGTAAAGTGTCTCATTTCCGCCGCTCCGCATCTGCGAGTGCAATCCAGAGCTGTAACTCGAGAAATAAACTGTTTGAAATTAATCATTTCTTGGCTTATTTAATAACTTCGGACGAATGGTAATACATTTCGCAGAGAAAACCTTTTTAATTAACAACGAACTTATTTATTTAGCATTCTAAACATTACAAAAAGAACAACATTCCGTGATTTTTCAAGCTCAAAGCAAAATATAAAAAACCTAACTGTTGCCACAAAAAATCTACATTTATAATGGCAAAAAAATCTACATTATAATGCCACAAAAAATCTACATTATTAAATTATTGTGTACTAACTGAGTTCGTACACGTTCCTAAACATAAACAATCTCGTTGTTAGGCGACGTGTGCACCACGTTATTTTCATTTTTGCGATAAATGCCTATCGACATGTTGTTGTTCACGTCGCTCGCGGTTTGAGACAAAAGCGTCTCCACGTGCGTGGCACGTCTTTTTTAGCGCAAGTGGTTAATAGTCTTACTTCTCACTTTTTGTTTAAGTGGGGAGAGTATATTTGCATTTGTAGAATCTTGCATTCTCCTAAATACTCCGAACAGTTACTTGGTCCATACACTATTTTCTAACTCTTGTTCCACTATCTTAGGTACATGATAGCCCAGGATACGAACATTAATTACTTTATTCTCCTGTATTACCACTATAGACCCCAAGAAAAATTAAATGTTAACACATAGTATCAGAATGTACAGAAATTTAAGTAAAAAAAATAATATTTATGGGTTACAGTATTTTGCTTTAATTCCTCAATGTAGATACGATTAATCTCTTCTTTTTCAACTTAAAAATGAAACACTTTTTTCTTTTTTTAACTTTCCAGATTTAAAATATCCGGGAAAAAGTGAATCATTTCAAATATTTTCTTGAAAAAAAACGTAACTTTGTTTTCTTTCTATCTAAAACATTTATTCGAAACATAACGGGCTTCTAGTAGGGTTGTGATATTAAAATTTTATTTAAAAATAAAGATAGAAAATAAGGCCAATACAAAGCCAAATGAAAATATATTTTTCGTAATATCATGACATAAAAATCTTCAGTTCCAAATTATCAGTGTCAGCCCCAATGAAATGAGCATAAACTGCGAGTTAAGGTAGTAATATAAAAAAAAAGCCAGGCGAAAATTTCCACTATTGTTTTGGCGAATTTTAAATTTTGTGACTTCGCAAAAAGTCAAGTTTTCCGTAAATGTCAAATATATCTGCATATTTCCATTTTCCTTTTTTTTTTAGTCCAAAGGGATTTGAATCCCGAAGGACTATTAGTTTCGTTTTGGCATTTTGCGTCGAACTCATAAATGTCGGTTCACTTTTCAAACTGTTGCCACAAAATGTTAGAGTCCTGCATTATATTTGAAGAAATTAAATAATGAAAATCTGCCTAAATGTATGTATATTTCTCGTATTGTGATAAAACAACGGTACATAGAGTCATCGAATTTTGAATAACGTAATCCTCCAACGAATATGAGCATGTGGAAGACCAAATTTGAAATTTGAAATTTGTTTTATGATCGATTTCCTATTTTTTAAAACTTTGACGAATTTTTGATTAACAAACTCAAGGATTTCAAAGCGAGCAATGGCAACGTTGTGCAGAAAAACATTTTTTTATCTGCAGCGCGTGAGTCTCTGTATCGGAAATTCTAAAGATATGCTCGTTTTAAAACTATTTGCGATATTGCTGTTGCATTGGATCTTATGGTTTAAGTGCGAGGAACATGATATTTAATAAGAAAGGTAACACACAAATGTTAAAAAAACGCCCCTTTGGACGTAATTTAAATCTGAAACATTTAATATTTTTTTTTTTTTTTTTTTTTAATTTCTATTTTTAACAGATTAATTTTTATACTTAAATTAATGCCGCTTTCTATTTGAAGTATACGTGAAAAACACGCTGCAAAGCTATCCTAATTCCAAATCAAAACTGATTCTTTAAAAAAACCTTCAATTTTATTAATATTTCGCAGGTACCATGAAAAGTCGCTTTCTAAAGTTACATGAAAATTTCCTCCTTTGCCTTTCAGCCCCGATAAACAGGTTCGATGCATATTTTTTTAATTTGAGTCATTTAGTGAAGAAAATCTGTATGTACAATATAACACAACCCACTTATCATTTATTTAAATGGAAATCAATTTTAGTTAGCGACGTTGTTTAGCTTATCATAATTTGACTGGTTAGAAAAGATATAATTTAATGCTTAAACAGTTACATAATACCGTTATTATGTAGCTAGACTTTCTCTCCTTTATTTAGGGAAAATGTCAGTGCGAATACTTAATGGCTGCTCCTACTTTCGTGAATTAATCCCAGGCGGCGAATTTTCACGATTTACTCCGGGACTATACCGCAAACGTTTCTTTTCCCCGCCTTCCGCATCGAATGACTACTCTAATAATAACAGCATAACATTCCCGTCATTTCTTACTGTATAATGTAATCTTTATATCGCATTTTTTAAGCAATAATTTAGCCCCCATTTCTATCATAACAAAATAATCAAGAATTACATTCTTCTGAAGATATAAAAAAGAATTTCCTATCTATTACGCCAAGACAATTTTTGGTGTTTAGCTAAGATAAAGTTTCAATCACTACGGTCAATGAATCAAAATCTTCATTATAAAGTTCAACTTCAATCCATTAAAGAAATCAGCAACAAGTTTTAAAAAGAAAAATAATACTTAACTGATTGAATAGAAAAACTCAAAGAGCACATAATCCGAAGAGTCCTTCCGAAACGCTTTTCAAGGTACTAGAATAAAAAGGTAAAAAGATCTTTATAGACATAAGTAACAAATTACCGAATACACTCACGTAATGCCTGTACTTATGTCTATCCTCCTTACATTCTAGGTTAAATTTTAAGAAATAAAACTTTAGGTAATTATTTATTTTGTAATATAAACTGCACTGTAATTATCTGTGAGTTTATTTATTATTTAAACAGTGTAATTGTTCTATCTAATATAATAACTAATTTTTTCTTTTCAATCTGCAGTTTAATTTATGAAAATATCGTATCAAAGATCTAACCAAATTTTAGGGAAAAAATATTTTATTTTCGAGTAAATATAATATTATAACCTCCGCATTAGCATTTTTGCGAAGAAAAATTGGTACTTACGTATTGACGCAACCAGGCCAAAATTCGCATAAATCGCCAAATTTGGCGACCCTACTTACGGCAACCCTACGTGTTATACGTAGGTTTTCGTAAAGAAATTATTTTTCTTACTGGTTAGATTGAATGCCTCTGAAATACTTTAACTATGGGTATTTAGGATCTGCCCGCGAGTGAAAAAGGATGCTGTTGAATTGTTGCAGGGATATGGAATTATACCGAACGAACGTATTTGTAAAAATTCTCATAAAATGAAACTGTATTTTCGGAAAGCAAATCTTCTCGGAAATGTAACGTCGAAAGAGTGCAATCAACATTTGGGTGTGAGAACCGGAAATTGGTTTGAAGGTAGCCGAATTTCATTTGTGACAGCCGTGCGCTTCATTATGTTGGTGTAAAGAGTTAACCTCAATTAAATTTTGTGAAGAGATGGGAATTGCTGAAAAACTGTTATAGATTGGAATAATTACATGCGGGAGATATGTGCCCTTGAAATGGATGAAAAAGAAAGAAAGCAAATAGGCGGCGAAGGACTTATTGTGAAAATAGACGAAAGTTTATTTGTAAAAAGAAAAAATAACACTGGGCGTGTACTACTACAGCAATGGGTTTTCGGCGGAATTTGCCGAGAAAAGAAAGACTTTTTTGGTTACTGTACCTAACAGAAGCGCCGTTACCCTCATGGAAAACATTTGCGAAAATATAAAGAAAGGAAGCATCATTTATTCGAATTGCTGGAAAGGATACAATACAAGTGAGTTGGAAAATGCTGGATTTCAGCATGGAACTGTTAATCACAAATATAACTTTGTGGATCCCAACACGGACGTTCACACACAACATGTAGAGCGCATGTGGGGCTCAGCCAAATGACGCAACAAAAAACAGAGAGGAACAGCCCGTCATCATCTTGACTCATACCTTATCGAATTTATATTGGCGCCAAGCTAAAGCTGTTAATGGCGAAGACGGTTTTCAATCAGTGCTAAAAGCAATAGCCAAAAGATTTCCGCCGAAAAAATAATTCTGCAACTTATTCAAATTCGAAACCGGAAGGGTTTAATTGCTATTTTATATTTTAAAACAAAATAATATAAAAAACTGTATTAAAAATTATCTGTAATTAATAAATGTACATTTTCTTTCTATTCATACTTTGTTACTCAAACTTACAAATCGCGCCAACCTCGTTGCGATAATACGTAAGTACCGAAAAGTTTACCGCTGAGTTATTGAGCGAGTTCAAGAAAAAAGGTGAATGAACTGTGATTTTCTAGTAGTTTGAGTAAAATTTGAGATTATTTTAGGATTTTGAAAAATTTTACAGTAATGAGCATCTCAGATCCAATTAATGTAACTAAAGGCGAGCTACCAATAGCTAAGCGGATGAATCTGCTGAACATTAGTAATTCGACTAGATTTCAAACCCCAAAGAACAAGCTCGCGGCGTAGCTGTTTTCGCTGTTTCACCCATGTGTAACGTAAGTAGGAGGAGCTTTCTAGGAAACGGAAGTTTCTTCCTAGAACATCCGTTCTGAAAGCATGATTCCCCTTAGGCAGATAGCTTTCGTACGTTTTACATTATCAAATAAATTTAAATTCAAGATATTGGAAGATGATTTTAATACTGGAAGGCAATTTTCCTAATCCAGACACGAAAAAAATAGATCGTCTCTATGTAAGTGACACGAAAAACAACAGTTGTCCTTGTACATACGGTAAAAAGAGAAAGTGTGCCTGTAGCATATTAAAAAATGATTGTTAAGAAACAGCTTCTGAATGCTTCCTGCTAGCATAAATAGCCTTGGAAAATAGGATCGCCTTGGAAAATAGGATCATCGTTTACGTTCAAAATGCCTTTATTTCATTATGTTTTAACCCTTTGCGGCACACCTAAAAATTTCCTTCTGTACGCACAGAAAAATTGAATGAGAAAGGATTTATAGGTTACTATAGGTTACTCTGAACCTTCTTTATTTATAGTAGATGGCAGCTCCACACAAACCAGTCCATATATTTTAGCCATGGTTAGTTTTTTTAAGATCCTCATTTTTCAAAGAAATCTTCCAGATTTTTTAGGGTATAAAAGGAATTGTTTGAAAAGAAATTTCTATGCTATTTTTTTTGGCTGTATGCTAATCTCCTTATTCTATATTAGTTTTAAATTTTTACCTTGAAATCTTGCTTAAAATCAAACGGCGAACCCTAGGTGTGCCCAGACCGGGCTCATCGATAATCTAGGAAAACTGAGAGTCTGTATTCTTTGTTTCTCCGCATCTCACCGGTCATTTCATCGAAACAATGCTCGTTTCGGCACTCCTTTCGAAGCTCTATTCAATCAGTGTGCCCACTTTGGGCACACCCACAGAATTAAAACGATAAGTGCTATCTTCACAAAATTTTACTTGTGTACTCCTCTAGGCCTAATTAGGTTGCCTACCTTTTTTTTTTTAGCAAAACTCCAATTTTAAAAGGTAGAGTGCCGGAAAGGGTTAAGAAATATTCGTCACTTTCAAAGGAAGGTGTGTTGGGAAGATAATCGCCGCGAAAGGTACATTTGTTTGCAATATTCAATTAACATTCGTTTAATATTAAGCGCTATTAAGCTGGGCATAAAAAAAAATCGGGAAGACTAGGCCATTGTTTTCTTTTTTCTCACTTGGAAAAATCTAAGGCATCGCATCTTGATGACTTTAGGCGAAGGCCTTGGGTAACCTTTGTTTGATGGTCAAACCGGTTCTGATTATATAAAGCTCTTAAATATGGATACTTAGATTTGGGTATTAAAAAAAATGTTTTATTCTTCAACAGATATCCTGATCTTTCTGTGAGAGAATAAGTGCAAGTCATCAAGCTTAAAAAATGAATAACCCGCGTAATAGCTGCTCCCGAAAACTGGAACTGAAATATTTGAATGAAAAGGGTGGATATTACAAAAGCGTAAACACAAATATGCTTTAAGGTTACGTATACAAACATATATACAAGAATATTTTATATACAAGAATGTTTTATATACAAGAATGTTTTATATACAAGCCTATTTGGTTGATCTTTAGATTATGGTAACTTGGCGATTTTTTGACGAAAATTTGGTGACCAAATTCCCTACAGCAACCCTCTATTTTTTTTCCCCGCCGCCATTTTGTCTTCACGAAGTAAAGACATGTTTCTTTTCTTTTTATCTACTGAACACTTCTTCCAACAATCTACAAGCCGAATCACACTTATGCTAGAAATTTTATCTGACAAAACTGCTTAATCATGACAAATATTCACTGCAAAATTGGGAAAAAGTGCACAATACCATACTCCTTACGCGTTTTTCAAAATAACACATACACATAAACCTTGTACACGTCGACTTATTTTTACTTAAAAAAAATATCACAGAATTACAGAAAAATGTGCACACTCTTCACTATATCCATGTACACTGCTTTTTTCTCATAAATTAGAAAAATTTCTCGAAAATACATGACAATTTTCTGAATCTTTAAATCCGATAAAAAGAACATATATAAAATTACCTGATCGCGAAAAAGTATACCCTTTCCAAATATGAACATTTCCACATAAAAGAATAAAATATCCAAAAACTTTTACCTCTAAATCATCTTATATTATAACGTCACCAACGAATTCATACCGCAAGCATTACAATACTTAGTGTCAAATTTAAATTATTTCCATGCACGTTTACTTCAACTAAAACGTATACCAAATTCCTACAAACATAAAATTCACAAACTATCATTTAATTAAAATATAAATAAATTCAAAAACACTACTTAAAATATAAATAAGCACATACGTTAAATTAATAAAAATTAGCTTACAATCCTAATTACTTTAAACTAAATCATTGCTATAACAATTTCCCAATAATATCAAATTATTTTACTTCCACCTTACAGTTAGAACAATGCATAAAAATAATATCCTCAAATAAGAAAATAAAAATACTAACTAATCTTCTCAGAATCTTGATTACGTGTCCGATAAACTTTTCTTATTTCCTCCGATAAATAAAAGCAGCGGTGTGCGCGGATCTTTAAAATTTATCTTATAGTCTTTCACAGCAAGGTACCAGGTAAAATAAATAAACTTAATAAAACATCTTTACTTCTATCTCGCAGAACCTAACACATTATTACTTACCCCTTTCAATCCCACTAAATACCCATTTCGAATTCACTTTAGTTAGGGCCATGGGATCCAAAAATTAACGAACACTGTTTCACACAACACAGAATGAAGCCAAATACAAAATTTCCAGATTGTTTCCCGATTTCCCCCCTTTTCCGATTAAATAACCGTAATTCGTCCATTAATATCACATGACATATCCCATGATCTCTCATTTCCCTCATACAAAATAATGCGTAATTGGAACTGAGTACTGCTCCAGGACTTAGGTACTGCTCACATTATTACCAAAGTCCCAGGTAGTAACCTTTATCGCCTCCAAAATGTCGCCGAACTACCAATTACCATATTCTAAAGATCAACCGAATATTTTACATTTTTTAAAAACTCATAAATGTATCAAATTAGACTTTACAACTTATTTTAAAAACAGTTACTGTAAGGCTCCGGTTAACCAACAGAAACGGGTTGAATGAATGAACAAAAATTACCCATTTGGTTACAAACTTGGAACAACAGAAAACATATATAATATGCCTGCATTTAAAAATCACCAGGCAATTTTATCTCCTCATGTCTACGTAAGTGAAATTAACTGAAAAATAAAGATTATGTCAAACATTATATTGAATTCTCTATACAAAAATTGAACAATGGAATAAAATGCTTCGGTATTAAAGGAAACTTATCGAGAAATTGCTTTGTAAATAAAGTAAACGTATGCTTCTCTTCATATTTGCAACTACTTCTAGCAGCTACAAGACATTAGACCTTAAATTAATTCAGCAGTGCGGTATTATTATTAAAGTACTTGTATTAAAGTCACGTGATCGTGGTGTGTCAGATAATCGCGATTCTGTTTATAAATATGAAGAAAATACGTATTAAGAACTTAACTAAAACAAAATCTAAAAATTTCAATATAACATGAGGCAGCTGCCAAAAATATATTGCTCAACTTAATACAGTAAACAGACTAAGAAGCCTTCATTCAAAATAGCAAAACTGGTAAATTTTAGTTTAGTTGTGCAGTTGCATATTAGTTTGCCCTGGTTTATTTGATTACGGCAAACTCGACAGCTAGCTACCTAAAGGAATGGATGCTTTCGAGAGCATTTTCTAAGGAGAATGGGCTGGTAACCACGTGAAAGAAAACCAAGAAACCACGCATCTAGCCAGCTCGTTTGCCTAGAATTGAACTCAGATCGATCTACCAGTGTTCAGCGACTTTACCGCTCGAACGCTGGTGAGCTCCGGCAGATGTGCTGCCGAGCTTTGTTTCTAAAATTAGAAATGCTAAAGCCCTATGGAAAGCAGTTAGCAAAAGTATACAAAAATAAAGTAAATCAATGAGTAAAATAATAGAGTAATTAATATTAAATAAAATGAAAATAAATAAATAAATAATAAAATAAACTAATGATAGATAAGTAATAAATTAAAATAATGAGTTTAGAAAAGCTAAATAATAAAACAAATGGAAAATGAGTTTAAAGGTTTCTTCACTGGCTAGGCGCATCCCATAAATATTACTCTTCTTAAAAGAATTGTATGTCATGAAGAGATTCTTTCCCGAGTGCTGATTTATCACGTATTTTGTTCGCTTTTCCAATAGAAAATTAGGCATACAGGGAATAGCTCAGTGTTATTAACTACCAGTATTATTAACTGCTATACAAAGAATGTTGCATTCATAACGTAGCAATAATCTGCTAATATTATGATTCAGTTATGTCACAAAACTTGATTGCAGTTGAATTTAAGCTCTGATAATTAATTATCTTGTAATATTTCAAGATAAAATCAGTCATCTGACTTTAATGTTAACATTAGTTTGAACTTTCAGTACGAAAAGAATATGCTTTCTCAAATGTCGAGTTAATATACTTTAACGCGGTTAGGTCATTCAAAAGGATGACATAACTCTGTTTCGACATAAAGGTGCCCGCAAACTTATGCAGGTTAGCTGCTATTCGAAAAGATAAGAAATCTTCATAAGGTTGCCCCGAAATAAATTTGCGCACTCCCTTTTGAAGATCACTTTCTAAATTCAAAGAAGCAGTCTTCATGAAAGCCTGGCAAATTTACATCAGGGTGTCTTATACAAGTCAGATTTTTGTCTGCATTACCGATTCATTAATCACGCAGTAAATGAAATAAATCTTAGAAATTACGGGGTTTTAAAACAAATGAATCATTCATATTGCCTCTATACATTTCTGTTGAACTAAAATTAAACCAAACTGTTTTGATTGTGATAGAGTAATAAAATTATATGTATATTATATATCTCTGTAATATTTGTTTAACGCAATACTTGCCTAATAGTATAGATCGATCTACACATTTCTTTAAAACAATGCATTGCTTATCCTTTTACATTATATAAGTCAACGAAAAATTAAGCGAAATTAACAATATGTTTATTTAGATGAAGTGATCCAGGTAGTTAGAGTTTCGGATATCTGGAGTTGTGGGTGGCCAAAGTTTAGCGGTAATTAGTTGAATCTTGGAATCGATTCTCACTTATGGAATGGGCTGGCTGCCAAAAATATCATGTTTTCTTCACAACAGAAATTCTACAGTATTTGTGTTAGTAATAAATTACTTATATGTCTCTTGTATGATAAAGAAATTTCCACATTTTTAGAGTAAAATTTGGGGCAAATATTTCAGATTCTCTTAGATAATGTATTCTGGATATGTTTCGTATATTATTCTAGTATTATGCAATATGCAAAACTAAAATTTTTAATCACCGGCATTTAACCTTAACGTCGTTGAGCAGAATGGCCTACAGGTAAAGCTGCTGAATACTGGTAGTTTGACCCAGGCTTGTATCCCATTAAATGGGCTTGCTGCATGGTAGTTCTTGTGGTTTTTCTCAAAGCAATGTGAATATAAACCAGGTTTCTAAAACTCCTAACGGAAGCATACTTCTCCTTAGGTAGGTAATCTTCGAATTCATTGCCATTATTTAGAGCTAATAATAAGCACAATTCCTCTCTTATTTTAAATCTCCTTTAAATTAAACAATATAAAGGTTATTAAACAATATAAAGTACAAAGGTTACTGCGTTCAATTTAACTTTTCCATAACTTCTTAATACTTTTAATTGTCAGCTTTTAATTCGATAACTCGCTCTTTGGATTAGAAAAAAGAAAATACAATATACTTACCTCATATGTAGTGCTTGCACCTGTTCGAAAATATACTGGTATGAAAAGGAATCCTGCTACTAATGCTCCAGCTGTGGTTCCCAAGTTTGTAAAAACAAAATACGTTCCGTAAACGTACATATCTGCTGGTACACCTAAGTATGTGATGGCCGATTTTCCACTAGCCATCACCGAAAATGCTACCGGCAGCACAGACATATTTCTTCCAGCCAACAGAAATTCATGTGTTGTGCGCTGTTTCCCGCCAGAAAATCGAAAATAAACGCCAATTCCGGAGGAGAAAAGAAGCATAGCCCCTATCACGATGTAATCCATTACACTAAGCATCAGCTCTTGGCGCGAAAGAGGTTCTGAATGAAAGATCGATGAATGATTCATTCTTGGAACTATCGCTGTGCTCTGATGAATGAAAATATTATTTATCAGCTGATTTAAAGTATAACGATGTAAAGGTATCAAGAAAGTCAAATGAATTCAGTTTGTTGTATAAATTCGATGAAGTGTGATCCAAATGCTGAATAATAGTTCGCTTTAGAACGCACAACAGCTCAGTTATCTTAGATACTTTCTGAATTAAGAATCAGTGTTTCATTCCTTTCTAAACAAAGGAGTTGGAGCAAATATCTTTTCTTAACTGCATTAACCCGATATTATTTAAAATTAAATCTCTGTTATGTTACAGACAAATGTTTAACACTTACTGCACACAGCACACTTTTCCTGGACGTATGAAATGCTGCTTATTTAATGACATTAAACAAACTGAGCGTGGTTTCTTAAACAATACTACACACTATAGCAAACAAATTAAACAAAAATTCTAAACATATCACGTATTACACCACCAAAGCATTTTCGTTGAAGGCACTATAAGAGGAAGACTGAAACCAAATTTCTTCAAAATGTATTCCAGCTATTTCTTAATTCATCACACAGATATCAGATAATTATAAAGCGAAAGTAAGCAAGGAGTTTCTGCACACTGGAATGAAAAAGACAAAGTAATAATCACCAACAGAAACTCACGAACTACCGCGGAGATCTTTCAGATCCCAAATGACGCTGAAAATAGCATTTTACTACGAAGCGAGTAGCGCATGCGCATTATCTGCCGACAAATGCATTCTTTTGGGGGATGGAAAGGTGAGTAGTAAATCGGAATTCATTTTTCCTAGTGTCTAGAGTCATCCACTAATTTTCATACGTTTAATGCGCAGAATCATAGGAAGGGGGGAGTCCTTTAGCTAAGTATTTTACCTTGTTTGTATTATTATTACCAAAATATAATTACTCCTTAAAAATTCGCATTACTTCTGAGTTTTCATTCAGTTTCTAGAATGAATTTACGGTTCTATGTGTTCCGAATATTGTGCTTTAATTCTGTGCACGATCATATATTTTAAAACAAAGGTTTACTAGTGAACTTGCATTCTTTTTCATATAAACGAAAATCTAAGTTCTTATTAACATGTGTTCTTAATAGTTTTTTAAAAATAATAACGTTTTGTAAATTAATTTCAGATCTTTTTCGTTGTAAGGCAACACGCGCCAAATTGTTTTCTGCAGAAGGATATATTCACCAACGTTGCTATTAAATTAGATGAGTTCTTATCTTTTATGACAAGATTCTTATTTCCAAAATAAGTATTATCAATAAAAAAATTTCAAGATGTGCATCATTTGATTTCGAAAGTGATTGAAAATTGATCGAAGAAAAATAACAGCAGTCGAAATGAGTTAAGGAGATAATGACGGAAGTACATTTTCTCAGTGGAAATATTAAGTTGACTCATATAGCTTTCTAGAGAAAATCGTTTGGCGTCTTAGAAAATATCCTTAACATCTGTTAATAAATTAAAATTATTCACATAAATATTTTAATTAAGTTTTTGTAACTTAATATAAAATAATTAAAAACAGGTTCATCTTTTGTCCAAAATTTTTCCCTGGATTGCAGGTGCATTGCCGTTGGTTTAAAAATCCGTTCAATCAGTTATCATCTGTCAGTAATTCAGTGTTTGTTTTAGACATTAAAAGAAAAATTAAAAATGCTAAAATGATTCACAAAAGTTAAATCGGTATGTTTTTGAAGAATTTAAATTTGATTTTTGTGCTCTTAACATTCAATTAAATATAAATTGATATTCCCATACGTGTTCTATATGAAATGACAAACATAAACTTTTATTAATTTTTTTTATTTAGCTAAACCCTTTTATACATTGAATTTATGAGTAAAAATATGGGAATTATACATATGATTTAAATTAAAAGCCCGTTAATTTTTAACATTTTCCTGAATGAAGCTAGTTTCAGAAACAGTTGCAGTCATACTTCATTAAGTAGGTCAGCTAAATATTAGGTCATTACATTTACTAGGTCAGATTTTTAACCCGAAGGGGCGTTAAATCCGAAGGGCTATTAATCTCAAAACGACATTTGCGTCGTTTCACTTTCTACCTTGATTCATTTTTCAAACTGCTGGTACCAAATATTATCCCCATGTAGTCTATTTATAGAAACTAAATAATGAAGAATCTGCATGAATATTTCTCGCATTGTGAAAAACCAACGGTACCTAGAGCTATCAAATTTTGAATAATGTAGTCCCCCAACCGAACATTAGCATTTGGAAGTCCGAATTTTGAATTTAGAATTTGTTTTATTACCTATTTCAAATTTTGTAAAACTTTAACGAATTTTTGGTTAACAAACTCAACGATTTCAAGACGAGCAATGGTAACACTGTACGAAAAAAAAAACATTTCAATCTCCAGTGCGTGAGACTGTGTATCCGAAATTCTAAAAGTACGCTGTTTTGTTGTTTTTAAATATTTTGTGATATTGCTGATCAAATCAATTTTTTGTGTTTTAAGTGTGAAGAGCATGATATTTAATAAATAAAGGAAGCGCACAAAAACGTTAAAAAAACGCCCTTTCGAGCGTAATATAAAATCTGAAACGCTTTCAGAGTTTCTTTTTTTGCTCCGACCGACTGCTGTTTCATTTCTATACAATTTATACTCGTTAGTAAGTCGTTTATGATGTATATTGTCCACAGTTATTAGTTTGCGTTCAGACGCGCGGTATAAACAAACTTATTCGTTCTCCGAAAAAGGCTCTTTTTTTAATCCAGAATGTTTCACCTACTTTAGAAACCCATCGAAACAGTTAGTATCTGTCAATTGAAAATGAAAGTTTTTTCCAAATTCCATTTGAAGCTTCTATAGTAATCAGCTCTATCTCTTAGTTGTCAAATTAAAAGGAAGAAAATTTATTCCTCATGTATTTTGCCAGAAATTTGGCCGGCTTTCGAAAGTACAATTGTGCTAACCCCTTTTAGAGCTCAGATACAGTGAAGAAAACATTCATTGTGTCTTAGCTATAGTTATTTAATGTTCCAGAAAGCTGCACCGAGCAGTGACTCCAATGAAAAAATGTCTGATGTGGATACCACATGACCTCCTTGTACGGTCTATTAAACTATACATATTTTGTTGTTGCACTTCATTCAAACTTATTTCTTCGAATCTTTTATCTTAATTAACCGATCTCCGAAGGCAAGTTGAAAATGACATCAAAAGCTGTAAATTTTGAAATTTAATATCGCGGTCAATTTTCTTCCTATGGGAGTCAAACTTCTTATAATTTTATTTTTCATAATGCATATAAAACTTCCCAAATATTAGTAACTGTTAGATCGCATTAAAAGTTATGTTTTTGTCATTTGTCAAAAGTTAAATTTTTTGTTAAATTCGCATTACGAAAAGAATGAATATATGTCTCCATTTAAAACTCTTCTGTAATTGGAAGTGTATGACAATAGCCAACGATTGTGAAAATAAAGGCCGAGTATATATATATATATATATTATATATATATACGCGTATATATTTACATTTATGAAGCAATATATATATATATCAGCGTTTAGTTCTGATTGGAGTAAAAAAAACGCAGGTGCAGAACTTGATATTGTAGCAGTCCCATATACAAAATTTCAACGTTCTACGGCTAATAGTCTTTGAGTTATGTACATACGTACGTACAGATGTCACGAAAAAATCCCTATCCGCTTTAAACACGTTGCATAATCTGTTCTGGAAAAGACTATTCTTTACTCTGTCCATACGTGCAGACATCTCGCAAAAGAATCTTCCAAATGGGTTCCGAAACAGTCAAAATGGATATGATACCCGAAATATTTCGTGATTACAACACTTTCTTTACTTCATTACAAGGAAACAAAAACCGTGTTCAATATTGGATACATTTGCGATAATTCATACCTCCTCTGCTAGAAAACGCTCTGATGGCGTTGAGACTTTTAATTTTTTTTTAGCATTTAGATTTTAACGTTAGATTACTAATTCAAAATCGAAATTTTATTATAAATAAAATACGACGATATGTACGTTAACACGATATTACATTTTTCATTGTACTGACAGCTGAGAGCTTGATACGAACGATACAGTGTTTTTGTAAGAGGGTGGTTATAAATTGCTTTGTATATGATAATTAAAAAAATATCTATTTATTTAAAAAGTCTTTTATTAAAGTAACTCTTTAGTAATTAGCTTTTGCACTCTAGGCCGTTTCTCGCTCGGGTGCACAGACAACTCAAGATTATTTCTCGCACATGTGGTGAATTTCTTACAGCTAATTTAAAATGATTTCACAGAAATATAATGGTTCTTTCATATCTGAAGATATTCTACAGCTCGATCCTACGGCTCTTTCGTCGGATACAAAAAGTATGTTCTGCGATATTCATTCTGATTCTGTACCCGTTATACATTCTGAATTTTCTGTCTGTTCTTCGAAATCAATATCGCTTTCACATTCACTATCTATTACCCCAACTTTTTGCCTTCTTACGCCTCTTACTTTATCGCTATCTTCATCACTGCTTTCCTCTACTCGATCATCAAATAGTCTATGCAAAGCCATAATTCCGTTCTTCATGAAAAAAATCGAGCTCGTCTTCACTTGAACTGTATCCTTTATCGTATTCCAATAAGCCCCGTGTAACTCTAAAAATAATATTCATATTGCCAGTTCGAACTAACATTGAAGACGCATATATAAAAATAAATCTGAAAGATGCATTTAAGATTAAATATTAGCAGTTGTTTTATACGCATCCATTTCTGAATACATTTATGAAGCAATATTGCCCAAACCAAATCTAAATAAACATCCTTACCTCTCGAATTGTCACGTCAAACCGAGTGGTGATCGAGATTCACCTCTCGAGTTGCCGCATCAAATCAAGTAAAAATCACTTCTCGAGTGCAAATGTTTAAAATCTTTTACGTTAATGGTGATGTCATTATTTTACTATTGCTTCATATGAATTACACAGGTGGTATCAAATAAAAGTATACCTAAATAGAAGTTCAGTATAAAAAATGTTTAAATATGCATATCCATTACATGCATAATGAATACGCAGGTAGCACGCTGCATTGTAGCACGTGCTACATTACTACAAATAAATAGTAACAGATTACGCCTAACTGTATCAAAAGGGCGTCTTTATTTTTCAATTCTGATTTCACTTTCATTTGGGGTATCTTGTATATATTTATGCTATGCAGATGCAGCTTCAAAACATTACACAAAATCAGTTTACTCAAATACTGAAATTGCTGGGAAATAGTAAATTCATGATAATAAGTCTAACAGAATCTGCGCGAGTCATTTATGGTACATCTGTAAAAAAATTAAATTTATTTTTAAAATTAAACGACTATAAAAGTGAAAGAAATAAGGATACATATGAAGGGTTTAATTTATTGCACCCTTTTTTGCGTATGGCATGTTTTCGTCTTTGCACAGACGTAGTAGTTGTTTATCATAGAAGAAACTTTTTTGCTGATAACGTATTTTAAAACTCAGCAAAATATGTTGTAAAATATGACAGCATTACACACATTGTTTAAATTAGAATGGAAAATATTGAGTTAATAGCTAAACACTAGATAGTTAATGAACTAATATTAAATATTTTAAAACTGACTAATTTAGATTAGTT